TTTATATATATATAAAAATATATGTAAATATGAAGGAAGACATTATTTTACATGTGTGTATATATACGAGAGTGATTGCAAAAGATTGGCTCACAGGAGCAGTGCTGGGCAGCCCTTCTCTCTCTTATTTTCCTTTGCCATATAACAACATGGAAAGCTTTCAGAACAATAATGCAGTTGGGATGCTTACTTAGCTATAGTCGTCTCGCTTGCCGTCCTCGGAGAAAGGGCTTGGACTTTTATACTTGCAGACATTGAACTTACTGGCTGGTTGCTTTCTCTCTCTCCTCTTTCTTTCTTTTTGGGGTTTTGCCCTATTCATGGGTTTTCTGTGCCAAAAGCAGATGAGTTACGGCCATAAACCACCTGCCTCCATCGCCCTCTTCATGCTTTCCTTTCATCAGTTGCTTTCCGTGTCTTGTCCAGTGGCTGTTTCATGGACAGAATAGATTGTGGACATTATCACTGTTATTGTTATTTTTAATAATGCAACTTGCTCCTACTTAGCCTGTAAATAAAAGCCACTTTTTTTTTTCTTTTTAAAGGATCTGGAAGAAACTAACACCAAAGAGCTCAATGCTGTTATTTCTCAAATTCTGCAGCGTCTGAGGGCTACAACCCGCGTTGTGGGGCTACATTTTATCTGTGTACTGGTTTTAAACTGTGTATTTTATATAAGATTATAATCATAGTTTTGAGAAGTATTCTAGGGAAACATCTAGTCCTAACCCATTAAAAACAGTGAGAAGTTGCCCTCTGACTTCTCTGGCTTTGGATCAGGCCCTTACTATTATTCTTTCTTAGAGGACAAGGGAAACAAGCATCTTTTCAACTTTGCAGCGTTTTTCACAAAATGGAGTTGATTTCTGTAATTCCTATTTAGGAAGAGGATGATCTGCAAGTAGTATTCGAAAACCAACCTAAAAGCTTTCTATAATTCTTAAAGACAATTCCATGTGTCCCAGGGACACAGTTCTTCAGAGTAGTATGTAATTCCAAGTAGATGCTGACACATAGCTCTTTTTTTTTTTGAGGCTAAGTCTGTTTTCATGTAACGCTGATCAGAGCTTTGGATGTTTAAATACGGATTTTTCACATTCTCACTGTTTCACCAAACTACTGACGAGACTGAGTATTGGTCTTACCCTGAGTTACCCTGAACTGCTGCGTGTTTGTTGGCCAGTATCTCAGTGGGAACTGGGAGGGACAGGCTCAGATTATTTCTGAATACGTGAAGACCAGTGTAGAAGTCGGTCTTTCCTCACCGGCAACCCACATTGCAGGCTGGGAGCAGCCAGAACCATCATGTTAGCTGTTATGAAATTAAGCCGTTAGGAGGGAAGTTTAATTCAAAATATAAGGTATGATAAAGACAATATTGAATATGACAGATCAGCAGTGCCTGGGATCAGTTAATTGAATATGATGATACACCTCAGTTTCTTTCCCTTATTTGCAGCTTGTGAGATTTTTTTTTTTGCAAAGTCTGTGTGCATTACTAAATTAACCATCTAGTTAAATCCTTCGTGTACCTTGTTCCCATTTTGTCTGCTGTCCTGCACGGCGGTTGGTGTTAGTACAGAGCCTGCTGGTTTAACAACAATAATAAAAAGTTGATTCCCTCTTCTCTTTTCCTTTGACAGCTGCAAGTCTTTCTATTGCTGCCGAGTGGCACGAGCCTCACACTCTGTCCATGGACATCTGTTCCATAAAAATATGGCACGTTATTGCCATGGCAAAACGTGCCACTGGAATTAAAAAATGTGTTACCTGAATATTGTTTGTTGTCTTTATAGACTCTATTCTGCATGTAGTTTGTATCCTGAGCTGGTGAATAACGTCGGTATTTTTTTTCACTGAAACTTCAAATTTGAATTTAAGTAAATTGGCAAGTGACACCAGTGATGAAATCCTGACGAGTATTTCAGCTATTGTTACTGGTTTCCTTGGAGCTCCTATCCAAGTTACGATGCTTTTGAGTTTTGGTCTTTTTATATATTCATAGTCACAGGATCATATTTTCTCTCTTCCACTGTCTGTTGTGTTAGATGGCTTGTAAATCATCCTTCATCCTTGCTTCTGTTTGCTCTTCTCTTTAGTAACTTAGTTAACATTTTAATTTGGAAATAATTACCATTCTTAAAGAATAACACACTGGAGATCAATCAAACTCTGAAGAATTTTTGTTGCCTACTTTCAAACAACTTATGAAAATATAATTTGAGATTGTAGGGTTATGTGGCAGCAGCACTAATCTATTTTTTTATTAATTGTCACAGGTACAAGTGACCCGTATGTGAAGTTTAAACTGAACGGGAAAACGCTATACAAAAGTAAGGTAGTCTACAAGAACCTTAACCCAGTTTGGGATGAAACTGTTGTGCTGCCTGTACAGACCCTTGATCAAAAACTCTGGATCAAGGTAAGTTTTGGATTTAGATTTTGAAAGATGGGTAAATATTTATTTAAGCAATTATTTTCTACTTTAGAAATGCATTGACTTCTATTCGCTGTAGCAGCACAACATAAAACACGGTCTGGTTTAAGAGTTTCAGCAATTTCAAATGAAAACGCACATATGTCTCTTCCAGATTTTACTTGCATGTTTTGCTTTCCGTCTGCAAAAAACCCGAGTTGAACTAAAACTCCTTGACTGGCTGTGTTGAAAGCTATGGAGCTAAATTCTGCTCGCTCTTACCGTGCTTGTGCAGACTCAGTGAAGCCAACAGCGGTTTCATAAGCAGGTTTTAAGAGTGTAATTTGGCTGGGTTGGGCAGAATCAGTACCTGGGATGCAGCCGTGACAAGTAGCAAAGCCTTTTCTCGTTACGACTAACGTTACAGTTCCCAGAACTGCGAGCTACCAGTTGTGAGTGCTAATTGCTGGAACATCTGTAGCCAGAAGTACCTGGGTTTTGTGCAGCGTTTCATTTTGCTGCTGCGCAGAGCGTAAAGGAACAGGCGCGATCCATTGCAGCACACATGTCTCTGTTTACATAATATTAAGAAGATACTTTCCAAAGGCTGTTTAAATATTTAGTTAAAAATACAAATTAAAGCAGGGAGATGGAAAATTATCCCTGAATTATATCTAAGCTTTGATCTTTCAAATATAAAATTGAACTGAAAGGGCTTATAATATCTGTTCTTTTATTGGCCGGGATAAAACTGGCTTATGATGTGAAAATTATAAACATTTATTTTATTTTGCTACCAGGTGTATGATCGAGATTTAACCTCTTCAGACTTCATGGGTTCGGCATTTGTAGCACTCACTGAACTTGAACTCAATAGGTAATATATTTATTTAATTAAAGGTTATTAATGCAGCTTAATTGGGAAATATAGGAAAATAATGGAATGCTTTTACTCTGGCTTGGAATTCATATGTTCCTGAAAACTTATTTTGGTAGAAGTCTGGGGAGCTCATTTTAAAAGAAATCACTTGAGGTAAATCCTGTACCCACATGTTTTCATCAGGTGTTAGGTACTGGATTCAAATCCAACCTGGATGGAGCCCAGTTCAGCAGAAGGCACCCTTTCCTTTTTCATGCCTAGGAATAAGGATAAGAGTTTCTATATGTGGCATTGTTTAGGGAGAGCTACACCAGTATAATTTATGGAGGTGGAAGAAGAAAGGAGGGGGAAAGAAGGTTAAGACCCCCTTTTCGCCCTGTGTAGCATGGGGGTGCCTTTTTCTGTCTGTGATTGGGGTGGGGAGTGGCTTGCCTGGCTTGGCCATGAGCACCCTGTTTCCAGCCTCCCCCCACAGCCGTCCGTCCCTGCAGCAGCTCATCTGGCCCTGATTTAGTGCGGAGGCAAGCCCTGCGCCTTTTGTCTGCTGCTGCTTGCTCTCAATGTGGAGCTGGAAGCCAGGAATTCAAGTTTTAGCCCTCTCTTTTACACTCCCTCGCTGTGTGACTGACTTTTTTTTTTTTTGAGAAAATGAATTTTTCCTGTGTGGGTATGTTATAGCTCCCATGGCTGTTGTATCTGAATTTCTAGAAACCGTAACGAATTTATCCATGAGATAATGCCGCCAGGTAAATACCAGCATTCCTGTTTTCAGAGAGGGAACTCAGTCACAGGCAGAGATTAAATGCAGGCAAAGGTAAAGCAGAATACATGTCTTGTGAGTCAAATCCCAGCCAGTAATATTAGAAAACTCACTTGGATAAGTTTCCCTGTTGCTGCTCTTCTCTGTTAAGTAGAGGTAGTAGTAACTTCATTCAGTGTGCATCTGTATGTGGGGAGTTATGAGTATTAAGTAATGCTATATAGATGCTAGGCTGCATTATTAAAAGGGTGGTGTGTTTTGTCAGAACTAAGAAGGAACCCTCCAGATTTCTCGTTTTAACATTTAAACTCAATATTGGGAATTTCAGACAAGAAGCTGAAATTTGCACAGCTCAGCGTGACCTTTAATAATCAACTCAAGTTAACTGGAGTCAATAAATGCACATTTTTTTTTTTTTTGCTTGTAGAACTACTGAACAGGTTTTAAAACTGGAAGATCCCAATAGTTTAGAAGATGACATGGGAGTGATTGTGTTAAACTTGAGTCTAGCAGTCAAGCAAGGAGACTTCAAGAGAAATGTAAGTGGCTTAGGAAATCAAATTTATAGCTGGAATGTGTGGGGTGGGGTGGGGGAAGAGCTGGCATAATCTGATTTACTGGGAAATGCCACCTTTATTTTCATCCTCTGAGACTCAATATTGAAATCGAGATGGATTCTAACTTGAAAAAAAGCCCCATATTTAACTGGGTAAAAGTTGTGTAGACATCTGTAGCTGGATGGTTCTCTTGTAGCTGTGACGTGCACTGTGGCTGCTCTATCCCTGTATCAGGCGTGTGGTGTCCACCACTGCAATCTGCAGGTTGCTGAAGTGAACGTATGAACGGTACCTGCTGTGATTGCTATTCCAGAGCATGCCATTTTCTGATCTCCACCTAAGACTTTGTATTTTAGTGCTTTAAAAGAAAAAACCCAAACAGGTGATTATTATTTTTTTTTTTCATGAAAAAGATACATCCATGTGAAATCTAAGAGCAGAGATTTGGCGTTAGGACTTAAAGCAGCACCAATCCTGCAGCGGAGCACACTGGCTGAGAGGAAGAGATTGTTTGTAAAAACCCTGATTTTGCTGCTGACAGTTTCGTGACTGAGTTCAGTTGAACTTGGCTCCTGGTGCTGAAGCATGGTACATTTAGTGATGCTAGAAACCCAGAACATCCTGGGCAGAGACTGGGAGCACTACAACTGTAGCTGATCACTTTTACATTTCAGGTCCTGCACATGGTTTTTGCTTTTGTTTTCATCTTTTAAGATTCCTACTGGTGTTTTACACAGTGTGAAGCATACCCATGTTGGTGAACTCATCCAGCTCCTGTCCTGTAAGCAGTGGGGAGGAGCCAAGATCAGGCATTTACTTAGCTCTGATTTTCAAGCCAGTCCTATTTTAAAGATGTGTGATAAATATGTGAAGAGAAAATCTATATAGTCTAGTATGAAAGTTGCTGTTTATAGCACATTATTGAATTATAGGTATGGGATTCCAGTCTGAATGGGATTATTTATAGAAATGTAAATGTTTCAAGAGATTGGAAAGCAAAATAAGAAAAAGCTAATGTGGGATGTCTGCTGTTCATTATTTATTTTTCAAATAGTTGCCTTTTTGAGAATTGTAAAATCACAAATAATATGAAGGTAATCGTAGAGTTATTTCTACCTCAATATGTGATTATTTAAAAGCTTAATGACAACATTCAAAACACTGTTGTTGTATTTCTATATCTATATTCTGAGATGGCTGCGATCTGGGATGTGAATTCCCCCTTTAACTGGTATAAGAGTAGTGTTGGCACACATGTCACTGGACTGCAGGAAAGGGTGAAGCAAAGACATAGTTACTTTAGGGAAAAAGCAGCTGAGCCAAAAGAACCTTAGGAATTCTTCTGGGATTTTTAGAGAGGCATGGGCTAAAGTGGACCCAGCCAGTGAGACAGAAAATACATTGGTTTAAAGTAGCAGCTTTTGGTACTCTTGGGTGCTTAGTTAACATTCAGAGCGCAGATGATAAAAGAGTTGGTGCACACTGTAATTTTTTTTAAAGACGTTTTAAGCCCTCATATTTCAAATGCAAATTGCTCAGCCATTTCCAGTGGAATCAGAAAAGTGAAATGGCTCTGTCCACATTAGCACTTAACAGCAAGATGATTTTTTTTTTTCCTTTTTAAATTAGCTTACTGTAGAACCAGATGGCACCAAAAGTATAAGCCATGTTTCTTACTAATAGCTCTGGGTCCCTCCACTTTTTATTCTTGATTACTTTTTTTATTTCCTCTTTTTTTTTTGGTGTGATGCAGGTATTTTGAGTTTGTTGATTGTTAAGTTCCATGAGGGAGGGGAGGTAGATGAATGCAGTTGTACATTCAGCCCCTTACTTAGTTAATAAGCTTTTCTAACAGATTTGACAAGCTGCTATTTGAATTATTTTATTAAACACTTTCTCCATTTTACTACTTCTCTGTTTCCTTTCTCTGGATTCTCTTTGGTACGATGGTGGTGACCCATGAATAGAGATGGTCAAGTCGAAAGAAGCGGACTTCTTCCAAGGTAAACCATTTTTTTATTTTGTCTTAAAAAAAAAAGTCCCCTTGCAAAAATCTCTGCCCTCCTTTGAAACAGAAAGGGTAAACATAGGAAAACTCAGAAGTATAGATGCAACCTGTCTTAATGTGATGGCTGTGATACTCTTTGCTTTTTTGATATTTTTCAGTGTGATGAGAAATTGATGTTGTTTTCTTATTGTAGGTGCTATGGTAGTGTCTACTGGCCAGCGAGAGTAAGGCCCCTTTCAGGAAAGAGCTGTAGAAAGAGAGAAAAATTGTTTCTACTAAGGAAATGGGTGTAAATTCAACCAAATAAAGGAGCTGTAGAGCATTTGAGTTGTTTAAGGGTACCTGAAAGGTGGCCCATAGTTGGTACTGGAGTTGAACATGGGTCTCCTGGATCCCAGTCTCATCGTTTGGGTCACTTCTCACCATGAGAGCAATATTGTCAGGCAGTTTTTCTTCTGGTTGCTTCTGTGGGTTTTGAAATTCCTTTTGTTCTTGGGACGGAGACTGAGCAGGCAGTTTTCATTAACAGCAATGCAGCAGGATTTCCAAGATTTGTGTGTTGGTACATATCTACGTAAGTTGCTTTCCTTGGTCATCTTGTGGTATCCCTGAAGGCTTCCGTTACTTTTATATTCCTGTACTGTCCCATTCTTGCATTAGATTTTAAACTTGTTCGGGAAACAGACTGTGGCTTTTTATTTTTTCTGTAAAGCATTAATTTGCTATTGAGTAAATAACAATGATACAGAAAGTGCAGGCCCCAGTACTCAGCTTGAGAGCTATACAGTCTAACTTTCTGAAAAGCAAAATTTGGCTCTTATGAGAACACATATGCATCTTGATATTTTCCCTATGTAACTATTGGTTCATGCCTAAATAAATTGAATAATTAACCTCCTCTTGTTTTATTCATTACAACTGTGATGTGTGATGTAGAGGAGCCAACCCTCCCAGGTGTTGTGCCAGCAAGTATATTTTTGTCAACAGAAGAAGTGCAAAGTACAGCCCTTGGAGCTGGAGGGCAGCTTGGCGAGCCCCAGCTCCGGGGATATCGCAGCCCTTCGCTCGGCGCAGAAAGCCGCCAGGCATCCCTGAATGCCGTATGACAAAGTGATGGAATAATTGAAGAGCTCAGCACTTTAGTTTTTAACTAAAGCTCTGGAAATTACTGTGCCCTCACTCAATCAGTGTAGCTTGATTCCCTCTTTTTCTCACGCATGCACACACAGCTGTCTCTTGATGCTGGTTGGCTTTGGGTCCCGGGAAAGGGAGCCAGGTTTTTAAGCTCCGGTCCTTTTTGTCCATAATAGCCAAACTTCTGTCTTGGTTGCTGTCACTGGTAATTTTATTTTTTTGGTTGTACACTATATCTCATTGGATCCTGAATAATTTTTCTTTTACATATGTTTTTTGGACCTTTAACTGTAAGCCATACTGGTAGGTCATTCAGTTACTCTGGCTTGTTCCTTAGCATCTTTTAAAATAAAATTAAGAGATGCTGAAGCATGGTACTGAGTTAGAAGTGAAAGTATTGTTTAAAAGAAGGG